GAGATGAATTCTTGCCATGCTCAACTTCCAAGGAGCATTTTGGCTATGTTTCTTCCAAGACAGATTTGTTTGTTCTTCTGGCAATCCTTGGTACATCCGGTGTTCTTCTCCAACACCAACATTCATATTCATCAGTTCTGCAGTCTTCCTTATTCACTGTCCAGATTTCACATGCATATGTCACAATAGAAAATACCATGGCTTAAGTCAGGCATGTCTTAGTCCTCAAAGTGATAATCTTTGCTTTTTAACTCTTTTAAAGAGGTCTTTTGCAGCAGATTTGCCTAATACAATACATTGTTTGATTGTTTGACTGCTCCTTCCATGGACTTTGATAGGGAATCCAAAGAAAATGAAATCTGTGACAATTTCAATTTTTTCTCTATTTATCATGATGTTACTTATTGATCTAGTTGTGAGGATTTTTGTTTTCTTTATGTTGAGGTATAAGCTGTACTGAAGGCTATAATCTTTGATCATCATCAGTAAGTGCTTCAAATCCTCTTCGTGGTCAACAAGCAAGATGTGTCATCTGCATATTGCAAGTTATTAATGGGTCTTCCTCTAACCCTGATGCTGCATTCTTCATATTGTCCGAACTTTTTGGATCACTTGCTCAGCATAAAGATTGAATGAATACAGTGAAATGATACAATACTGACACACACCTTTCCTAATTTTAAACCATGCAGTATCCCCTTGTTCTGTTGAAATGGCTACCTCTTGGTCTAGGACAGGTTGTTGTCAGGTGCTGTAGAGTCAGCTCCGATTCATAGTGACCCTGTGTGCAACAGAATGAAACACTGCCCAGTCCTGCACCATCCTCACAATCATTGCCATGCTTGAGCCCATCCTTGTAGCCACTCTCAGTCCATCTCGTTGAGGGTCCCATTATCTCTGACCCTCTATTTTACCAAGCGTGATATCCCTTTCCAGGGACTGGTTTTTTCAACAACATACGCAAAGTATGGGAGACAAAGTCTGGCCATTCTAAGGAGCACTCTGGCTGCACTTCTTCCAGGACAGATTTGTTCCTTCTTCTGACAGTCCGTGATGTGTTCAGTGTTGTTCGCCCACACCACAATTCAAAGGCATCAATTCTTCTTTGGTCTTCCTTTTTGTTGTCCAGTTTTCACATGTATACGAGGCACATATACATGCTTAATAAATGCTTGAATAGATGCCTGATTGAAAGAGTGATCTTCCCCCTCTATTCTTAATTCATTTGCTTCCTGTCTTCCTCTAGTACCATTCTCCTTTCTCTTACATTCTTTATTTTAGATCTTTACCCTCAGCACATAAGAAGTTCAAATTTCCCCTATTCTAAAATACCTCCGTCTTACTTGTCTTTCAAGTTTCCCAGCAATAAATGAATAAATAAGCTATACCCACTCTCTTATCTTAGTGATGCACTATCCTATCATGCCCCAGCTTCTTTTCATCCTCAGTGCTCATCTGGGGTTTCTTTCTGCTCGAATTCAGTGGTTCTTACTCATTTTTCTGGCCAAGCACAGTGGAGGGATATATGCCGATTAGCATCACTAGGAGACATGCAGCTATGAGTGGGAGGCAAGGGGGAAGGAGAGTGGTTGGCATCAGCAGTGGCTGGCTGGTGCCCTTCAGAAGGTGGATATGCAAATGTGGAGAATCTCCCCAGTGATGTACAATCCCTGCCTCCCATTGAGCTGCACTGCCTTTACTTATTGTCTAGCTTCTCTCCTCCCTACTCATAGGATTTCCTAGAATCTAAGAATCATAATGCTCTGTCCTCTGAGAATTGCTTTAAATCATCTGGCTTTATCTGACAGTACTGTTAATAGCTGCAAAATAGAAGTCTTTTCACCAGACTTCTCGAGGACCATTCTACATTTCTATTTACGGTGTTTGTGGATTAACTCCCCCTGGATCCTCAGTGTGAGGGGCTTGCCATTGCACTCAAAATAATTAACAAGGCCTTGGCTGGACTCCCACCAGCCTCTCTGCCCTTCTCTGCTGTTGTACTTGCTCTCAGAGTCTGGCCACAAGGGCCCTTTGGCAGCTACAGAGGCTCTGCCTTTTTCCAGGAATGCTGCTGCCCCTACCCATCCTTCACCAGCCTCTTTGCTTCATAACTTCTCATTGATCAGAGCTCACCATCACTTCCTTAGACATGGCTTTCCGGACCCCAAGACTACATCAGGTCCCATACTTTACAGTGAGAGCCCTAACTTATCGTGGGTTGTAATTGAAGTATTAACAATAACTCTGGACCAGAACCATGAGCTCAGAAGGAGAAACCATGTCTGTTTTGTGTGCCACTACATGTTCCTTAAAAGGAGCCCTGGTGGCACTGTGGTTAAAGCACTTGGCTATTAACCAAAAGATCAGTGGTTTGAACCCACCAGCCGCTCCATGGGGGAAAGATGTGGCGGTTTGCTTCTGTGAAGATTACAGCTTTGGAAACCCTGTGGGGCAGTTCTACTCTGTCCTATAGGATCACTTTGAGTCAGAATCTACTTGACAGCAGTGGGATATGCACCTTGCACAGTGCAGGGCACTCGGTGAACTTAGAAAGTGTTTGATGTCTAATGAGTGATGTCCCAAAATCACATCATAATCTTTTTGTCCCAAAACCAGCACATTGTCTTTCTTCCTATTTTGCTTTCTAGCTTTTTGTTTGTGTCAATGACACCACCATGCTTCTAGCCACTCAGACAGAAAGACTTGGCACCTTCTGATGCCTTCTGTTCAACACATGTGGGACATGGCCAAGGGCTAGTGTTATTCCCAGAAAGACTTTTGCTTCCACTCATTTAGTCCTGTTGCCATGACCTTTATGCTGGTCTTCATTATATCTCCACTCACTTATTACTTTAATCTTCAAACCCTCTCTGTTTTCCAGCCTTTCACCTCTGCCTTTTATTTTGCACAGTTCTCCCAGAAAATCCCTCTGAAGCACTAGTGTCATAGTATCTCTGATCAGAACCTGTCAGTGACTTCCCACTCTTATAGGATCAAGTGAAGATCCTTAGCACTTCTTGGCCTTATTTTCTACTTGTCTCCTTTATGTGGTGTAGGTGTCTCACTGGACTGCTTCTTGTTCTCACCCTCCCATCTCCGTGCTCTGGCACATGCCGTTGCTTTTCTGCACAGGTTCCTTCCTCTTTCTACCTTCACAGACCCATTGCCACCTCCTCCACTAAAGCTCTCCTGACTTCCCCAGGAAATTAGGCCTTTTCTCACTACCAGTTACCACTGAGTCAAGTCTGACTCATGGCAACCCCTTAGGGTTAGAGTAGAAATGTGTCCCTTGGCGTTTTCAATGGCTGACTTTTCAGAAGTCAAGTGTCAGGGCTTTCTTCTGAGGGGCTTCTGAGTGGATATGAACCTCCACCCTTTCAGTTAGTAGCCTACCTAGCACTTTGACCATTTATACCACCCAGATCAGCAATAAAGGGGAAGACCTTCCACAAGATGAATTGACACAGTGGCTGCGACAGTGGGCTCAAGCCTGCCAATGACCGAGTATGGCCCAGGATCAGGCAGGTTTTCATTCTGTTGTACATGAGGTCACTGTGTATCGAAACCAACTTGTTGGCACCTAACAACTGCAATCTCATATTACAGTTACTTGTGTACACTTTATCTCTCTTACTAAACTGTAAGCTTCTTCAGAAAAGGATCTACGGGAGCTCTGGTAGCATAGTGGCTAAGACACTTGCCTGCTAACCAGAAGGCTGGTGGTTCAAACCCACCAGCCACTCCTCGGAAGGAAGGTTGGGCAATCCTACTTCCGTAGTGATACTGCCTCGGAAACCCAAGGAGGGGTCGCTATGAGTCGGGGCCGACTCAACGGCACATAACAACAACAACAACATCACTTACCTGCAAACCAGCACAGTACCTTGGACAAAGATGTGTTCTGTAAAAAATGTATGCATCAAAATATATTTTTTGTTTGGAAAAGCTGGAATAATAATTATCAAAGTTCACTTGTGTAGAAGAGATATTTAATGCACAGTTAGGTTAAGTGGTTAAATTTTCGTTTGACTTTCATAGATTGAACCACGACTGGTGCCAAACAGTGCACCAAACTTCCAGGTACAGGTGCAATATTCCCACACTCACAGGCTAAAAGTGGAAAAGGAGGGGGTATAGGGAAGAGAACTGGAAATTTGTTTGAATATCCACTGTCAGCCCTGAATATACAGTCATATCTCAGAGCTATTGCAGGTTTGGTTCTAGACCACAGCAATAAAATGAATATCACAATAAAATGAGTCACATGAACTTTTTGGTTTCCCAGTGCATATAAAAGTTAATATTTACACTATACAATAATAAGTGTGTAATAGCATTATGAAAAAGTTTGAAATATTGTGGGAATTACCAAAATGTGACATAGAGGCATGAAGTAAGCACATTATGTTGAAAAAATGGCGCAAGTAGCCTTGTTTGACAGAGAGTTGCTACATACCTTTAATTTATAAAAATTACAATATCTTTGAAGTACAATAAAGCCGAGTGCAGTAAAATAAGGTGTGCCTGTAGTGAAGTGTTAATAATGGGCAAAGACATATAGAACCAAAGTCCACCTGACAGCAAATGTCTCTCTGTTGATCCAAGTCGTCACCATGACTTTCTAAGGTCTGAACTCCTGGAAATAAGAAAATTGGTTTAGTTTCATTACACTTTAGGATCATTCCAGAAAGAAGGGAAAGAAATGTAAATTAAGGTTTGCCTGATACCACAGATAGAGTCCTGTAAAAGTATTCATACAACTTTTTAAATCTCTGGATTTTCATTATTTGCAATTTTGCCGGTCCACTTATTTGAGGCCACATGAAAATGCCTCTTTTGTCTTGGTTGTTGAACCAACTGTGGATCAATTTCCAGCAGTTCCCGAAGTTTGCCTTACCAGCAGAGCACTGCCATCTAGTGGTGAGAAAGGACAACCTGGAGCACTTGGTTTTCTTAAACTTGGGGAAAGAAACATGTTTTTCTTCATTCTGTTTTTTTAGTGTGGTTTTCAGGAATACATGCGTAAAAAACTGGGTACAGCCCATAATTTCTATCAATTTATATCAAATGTATTATATAGATTTACTTTTATTTTTCCTGATTCCAGAAGCATTTGTGGTTAAAGAAAAAACATACCAAAAAATTGTAAAATATAACCCAAAAACTGCTCAGGATAAGTAAAACTAAACTAGTAAAAGAGGTCTAAACCAGAGGTCAATGCTAGTTAAAGTAATCCGGTTGCAGGTGGTTATGACTTGTAAAATGAAAGATCTTCTTATGATGGAAATAGCTAGCAGTTACTGCATTTCCTGACACAGGTATGCATTGCTTAACATCCACAATAAGTTCTGTAAAATAGGACATTATGTGATTAGGGTGTTGTGTGAACACTGTGTCCACAAGGCATGAGGATCCCAGGTGCACTGGGCCAGGGGCTGCTGTTAGCGGGCAGTCTCAGCAGCTACTGCTGTGGACACCTCCAGTGAGCACGCCACCAAGTCCCACCTGGCTGTCACTCTTCTCTGCTAAGCCCGCTGCAAGGGAGGCCAGCTTGCCCATGAGAACTGGCTCAGAAATGGGGAGGGTGTGGGCCATACCAGTCCATCAGCACCCTGTGGGACCACACTATGCAAAACACAGGGATTAGACCCACTGAGTTGCAGAAGCTGATGGGAGTCATGTTGGAAGTTTGGGCCTGGGCCTCCATTACCACAGACTAGGTGGCTTCCAGGCCACATGCAGCAGCCCGGAAGAAGTGAAGCTCCTACCTCAAGATGAGGGAGGGTCTGAAGTCCTGGTATATGCCGTGGGACGTTGCCTGAATGGATGTGAAGCATCTCACACCTGCCCATCTTTTCATCTCTCTGCAATTAAAGGCCTCATTATTTAGGCTCTCTTCTTTTCCTCCCCTTGCTGGTCTGATTTTACACAGTGGCAATCAAAAGTGTGGTCTCCAAACCAGAAGCACGAGCCACACCTCAGAACATATTAATACAAATTCCCAAGCCCTTTCCCAGACCTATTGAACCAGATACTCTGGGATGAGGCCCAACAATTTGTGGTTTAACAAGCCCTCCAGGTGATTCTCCTGCACACTCAAGTTTGAGGACCCCAGTTAACATCCTTTTTAGAATGTTATCAGGAAAAGATTGAATAGAAAAACACCTACTGTTAACTTTATTTGTTGGCAATTCTGATTTTCTTTTTTCAAATATTTTAAGGGTCAAGGAAATTGAAACTGAATGAAATAATGTTGACCTTCCTGAGCCTTTACTTTATATCTCAATACCAGGGAAATGGGAGCTGTCTATGATTACGCAAACTTGAAATTGACATTTGCAACATGCTCTAACAACTCAAATATAGCACAGCATTGGGGAATCAATATTTTAAAACTCTCTTGATTCAATGCATTTTTCCAAAGAAAATTTCTTCCTTTTTGAAACTAACTTCAAAATGACTCACCTAAAGTCATATCTGGTACATTGGGTTAAGATTAGCCCACCCTTCTGAAGATCAAGTGAAAGATTTACACTAAAACATATAGACTTTATTAGAGAGCAAGACTTAAAATTGTCCAGATTCAAATTTTGAAAAGTAAAAATTTGAGTTCAAAGTATTTCTTTTCTTGATTGTTGAGTTTTTTGTTTTGTGTTTTAACTTGCAACTATGAAAATAATTGGGTATTTAAATCAGTTGGTGTAGGAATTGAGTCATTTATAAATTGGATTTTGAAGTTAGGATTTTCTAAATAAAAATATTATTTATCTCTAAAATAGGAAGTTTTATAAAGGTTCTCTCTCCCCCCCCAAAAAAATATTAAAAGGAAAGGAGTATGGTAGGTAAAATTCTAATATGAGTCTGACATGTCAGATACATTACAGAGTAGGTCACCAAAATCCATAGTCCACACTTCACCTGAAACTTTCTGAGTGTTGAAGTTTTACTACTATAGAGGCACTGTCAAGACCTACTTAAGATGATGCTCTTCTAACTGATTACAGAGACTACTAAAGACCAGACCTCCAGCTCTCTTGTCTGTACCAATGGGAAAAGCAAAAGATTGGGCAGAAAAAATAAACAAATAGTACTCATTGCCTTTATTTTATCTTATTTTATGTCCTGTAGTCTCGAAGTTTGGGCCTGGGCCTCCATCACCACAAACTATGGGGCTTCCAGGTCATGTGCAGCAGCCTGACAGAAGTGAGACTGAAAACTGAAAGCTGAAAACACTTCAAGAATGAAGTGCAGGGCTGTTTCTGACTTTGCATTCTGTGTAGGAAAAAGAGGGTTGAAAGGGGAAATAGCACAGGTGTCCCTGTGATAATCCAAGGATAGCATGGGTTTAAAAAACAACCAAAAGGTGCTAGCTTATTTTAATATGAATACTGAAAATGGCCTGTTTACCACACTGCTCACCTTTTCCATCAAATTAATTCTGGCTGGATGGAAATAATAATCCATTATGATACCTCAGTTGAACGGGTCTTTTAAACTGCTTTGATAAAAGCATCTCCTCTGCAGTAAAATATGTGTTGTTGTTGTTGTTATGTGCCATGGAGTCAGACCTGACTCATTGCAACCCCTCCTTGGGTTTCCAAGGCGATATCACTACGGAAGTAGATTGCCCAACCTTCCTTCCGAGGAGTGGCTGGTAGGTTTGAACCGTCATCTTCTGGTTAACAGTCAAGTGCCTTAGGCATGATGCTGCCAGAGCTCCTAAAATATGTATTAGTTTGAGAAATTAGAGCTTAAGGAGCCACCGCACCATAGAAGCACAGAAGACGACTTCACAGTCTTGTACTTAGAGGCGAGACTTGAAATCACCTCTCCACCAGTGTCTCACCTGGTGACTCATGAGGCCTCCTAGATTTGCTTATTAAATTCATCAAGGTGCATTCAGAACAGGAAGTCTTTACTAAGGCTGCTGACCTTAAGAACAAAGAGTACAGTCATCCATTGTGTTTCTGCAGTGATGTGTTTGACCTTTCCTCATGCTTTGTTAAAAAAAAAAAAAAACTTGCCAGTTACTGGTTGTTGTTGTTGTTGTTATATGCCATCGAGTCAGCCCCAACTCATAGGGACCCCTCCTTGGGTTTCCAAGGCAGTATCACTACAGAAGTAGATTGCCCATCTTCCTTCCGAGGAGTGGCTGGTGGATTTGAACCACCAGCCTTCTGGTTAGCAGTCAAGTGCCTTAGGCACTATGCTACCAGAGCTCCTCCAGTTACTGGTAAGGCTAGTATTTACAAAATACCTTGATAGAAATAAAAACTTCAGTAAACTGGAAAAGCTTTTGAAAGATATTCCTGATTCATCTAAACATGTTACCACTTTGGATACTTTTCCTTCCTTATCAGTCTTAAAGGCACATTACACATAACATTTTTCTGTCGCCACATTCCTTGTTAGAAAAAAATAATCATAGATGTAATGGAAACAATCAGTCCTAGCGACTGGTACACCATCCGATCTGCAACCTATACCAACTATGAGACCAGAAGAACTAGATGGTGCCCAGCTACCACTGCCATCCACTTGGAAGGGATGTAGGAGATCCTGCATAAAGAGGGAGAACAATGTGGTACAAAACTCAAAATAATTTGGAGGCAAAAAAAAAAAAAAGAAGGTGGGGACCAGGTTTGCTGGTCCAATAGAGCCTGGTGTAACCACTGAGACTATGGCCCCTAGCTGCCCTTCAGGTCTGGAATTGAACTCACAACTGTGGTTTCCAGCCAAACAAAGTACAGGCATGTGAGTTAAACATTTACCTCAAGTAGACACACGCCCTGGAGAGAACAATCATGGGAGAAGGAAGGGCTGCTTATGCACAGGGAGATAGCTCAGGGTGCAGAAGAGTATGAAGGGATGGACACTGGGAGGAGGTAACTATGGGGAGGAAGTGGGAGGGGAGCTGCTGCATTGTAAATTTTGGTCAATGACATGAGACAAAGTATATGTGAACTGCTGTATGAAAAGTGAATTTACTCTGTAAATCTTCACCCAAATCCTAATAATAATAATAATAATAAAAGGATACTTAAAATAAATAAATAAATAAATAATCATAGATGCCATGGATGGGATGAATCAGAAAGGTCATTTTATGCAAACATTCTTCCAATGTTTAAAGCCTTTTATAACCACCCCACAGGAGCTTACTTAGAGCTGGAGATATTAAAAGTGGAGTGGGAGGAAGTGGGACTGGAGGTCAGAGAGAGGAAGCATCAGTTTTTGCCATTTATTTTGCCTGCAACACTCTACCAACTTGGAAATTTATGTAATCACCATGATCCTCTGAGTTTAGATCACCTTCCTGACCCGAGTTACTACTATAGTTTCCAAGCAGAGAAGCGTGGATCTAAATCAGGGTTTCTCAACATTGGTGCTTTGCCATATGAAGCCAGTTAATCCTTTGCAGGGATGTGATGAAGGGGATGTCCTGTGCCTGGCAGGATGTTGAGCAATGCTCACTGCATGCCCCTAGCAATCACCCCCTCACCCCCACCATCACCAATTGCGACAACCAAAAATGTCTCCAAACCAAAAAAAAAAAACCCTCATGCTATCAAGTAGATTCCAACTCATAGTGTCCCTATAGGACAGGTTAGAACTGTTCCATAGGGTTTCCAAGGCTGCAAATCTTTATAGAAGTAGACTGCCTCATCTTTCTCCCTCAGAGCAGCTGGTGGGTTGAAACAACTAACCTTTTCATTAGCAGCCAAATGCCTTAACCAGTGCGCCACCAGAACGCCTTAATTTTTTTTTTTTTTTAAATCTCCAGATATTATTAAGTGTCCCCAGGGGCAGGGTGAGGGGGCAAAGGATTGAAGATCACTTGTCTAAATTAAGAACATGTTCTGTATGTGTGTTTCCATCATTGTTAATGCATAATAGAGACTTGAGCTTTGTGTGAAGATTAAGTCATCATTTTACTGTTTAACTGTAATAATTTTAAGCAATCATGGTAATGTTATTGTGAGACTTACTAAGTTATATGAAAATAAAAAAAATAATGGTCTGTGAGATAGAGCCCTAAGGAAACATCCAAATTATTTTTCCACTAGGGTGTATATATCCCTGTGAGATACCAACTGATTTCATGGGTCCATGTCCTGAGGGGCAGATGGGAAAAAGCAAACAAGACGGAGAAAATCCAAACTGAAACAAATTTTCATCAGGCGCAATAGATGACAACCATAGAGGGATGAGAAAAGGATTAGGGAGTGGCTAAGATTTCAAGGGGAGAAATTTGGGGTTTTGTTGTTTGGTTTTTGTGTGGGCGGAGATGGGGGAGGATACTTGTTTTCTGAGTTTTCAGGAGGAGGCAGCATGGATCAAGGAGAATGTAGATTCTTCCCTCTGGTCTTGGGGAGAGGGGAATTAAAACTTGTTCATTTTGACAAAGGAGGATAGTGTTGGTTCAACATTTTTTGTTGCCATTGTTAATGTCTACAGTATCCTAAGTGGTAAATTGTTCTTTAATGATTTTTTCAAACTGAATTTGGTAGTAAACTGTATTCAGTACCAAATAAATTATTTTATTTTACAGATCTGCTTTAACTTTGGAAATGGACTTCATTTAGAGGTAAGGAACCAATGGGATTGTTTCTTTCTTCTGAACTCAAGGCTTAATTTCATGAAAGACAACTTGGCTGTGCCTTTCCAGATTAAAAATGTACACTCCCTTAGCCCCAGCTAGCTATTCCCAATCAAACAAGCACACAGGAACATATACTCAGGGATGTTCGATACAGCTTTCTTTGAGGAAATATAAAACAATTTGTGGCACATGGAAGAATGTTCATGATAAGGTATTGAATGAAAAACCAAGGGACAAAATAAGGTGTATGGGGAAGTCCACTTTTATATATCTGTGTATGTGTGTGCAACTATATGGCCAAAACATGGTCATAAAAGGTATTCTTCAAGTTATTAACAGTGAATACTCTGTAAATATAAGTGGGAAGGTAGAAGGGAATTTTATATTTTAACCTCACAAACTTTAATATTGGAATATTAATACTGGAATATTGGAATATAAAATTAATGTTTTAATTATCATAAATTAACTTAAATTCTTTAAGTTTATAAAATATTTTTCAAGGGAAAAGACATCAGTAAACCAGTGATAACCAATATAAATATTTTAAAATAAAATATATGTTACATAGAACAACAAAATGAGTAAAATGATCAAATAAACCTAGTGTCATCATCATTTCTGATCTTAAGATACTAGGTATTCTGTATTTAAATTTTCCATGGATTTAAAATATAGGGGTGTGTGTGTGTATGTGTGTGTGTATTTGTTGTTGTTATGTGCCATCGAGTTGGATCCCACTCATAGTGACCCCTCCTTGAGTTTCCAAGGCAATATCATTACAGAAGTAGATTGCCCAACCCTTCTTCCAAGGAGTGGCTGGTGGGTTTGAACCACCAGCCTTCTGGTTAGTTGTCAAGTGCCTTAGGCTATATGCTACCAGAGCTCCTTGTACATATATATATATATTCAACTATTAAAGCCTTACTGAATATTTCCATAATAGTTTTCCAGTTAAGGTTCTTGAAAGAGGAGAAGGGAAATTTCATCCTTTACCCAATCCTTAACATAATAAATTCATTAACTGGCAGTTCCACTAGTTTCAGTCAAATATATGTCAATAGATTACTAAGATTTAGTTTTAGTATGTTCAGTAATTTATTTTTAAATTACAAAGCACCACAGAAAAATGAAACTTTATTTTCAGTTAATTGAAAAAAAAAATTTGGATATAGGTATTCTATGTTTAATTTCCCAGTTTATAAAATCACTAAGTTACTCTTTAGTCTTTTTAATTCTTTACCTTGGGAAATATTTTCTTACCATTCAAAGCAAAAGCTTCTTGTTTTATTTGTTTAGAGACAAGCTTTTGAACACCTATAAAGAATTTTAGGATATTTAATTCTTTTTGCAATATTTGATTGTTGCAGACCTTAAACACAAGAAATGAAAATAAGCTGCTTCCTAAACACACTCACTTAGTGCGGCAAAAACGGGCCTGGATCACTGCTCCGGTGTCTCTTCGGGAAGGAGAGAATCTGTCTAAGAAGAATCCAATTGCCAAGGTACGTTGAAGAAACAGCTTGTAATATGTATTTTATTAATACATATTAATAAAATATTAATGCTGTGGGAGGACTTTTATGTTCACTTTTTAAATTTAAGGAAAATTAATGCACTGGTTGATTTTTTTCATATTCAGGATGTATTTTAAAAAAGTAACATAGCTTGATTTTTAGACAGATGTACCAACTTTCAGATCCTGTTTCCCATTCTGGAAGATGAAACATCATCGGCACAAGAAAAGAAAAAGTACACACACATGCACACACACACACGCACACACATTGGTTTAATCTTTGTTTAACAGTGATAATGTTACAGTATTTGCAAGATGATACTATAAAAAATAGTTTAAAAAAATGCAAAGGAACTGCGGTCTAATTGGTAAGATGACCATGTCATTGTTGTTAGGTGCCATCAAGTTGATTCGGACTCCTAACGACCATGTGTACAATAGAACTAAACACTGCCGGGTCCTGTGCCTCCTCACAATCTTTGCTGCATTTGAGCCCATTGTTGCAGCACTGTCAATCCATCTTGTTGAGGGTCTTCCTCTTTCTTGCTGACTCTGTACTTTACCAAGCATGACGTCTTCTCCAGGGACTGGTCCCTCCCAATAATGTGTCCAACATACATGCCATCCACTTTTCTAAGGAGCATTCTGGCTGTACTTTTTCCAAGATGGATTTGTTCATTCTTCTGGTAGTCCATGGTATATTCAGTATTTTTTACCAGCACTGTGATTCATATGCATCAGTTCTTCTTCATTCTTCCATTTTCGTTGTTTATCTTTCACTTGTTTATGAGGTGATTGAAAATACCATGGGCTGGGTCAGGTGCATCTTAGTCTTCAAAGTGGCATCTTTGCTATTTAACACTTTAAAGAGTTCTTTTACAGCAGATTGTCTCCATTTTACAGATAAGAAAACTGAGGCATAAGGAGGTGAAATAACTCTGTCACAATTAGTGAGTGGCTGAGGTGGGGTTAGACCCCAGGTTCTCTGACACCAGCATCTTTGCTCTTGAGCCCTTTCCCTCCTATCAGCATCCTAACAACTTCAGCAAGGAATTTTCCATTAAAAATATACACATGTAAATTATAGAGATTTAAACTTCAGGCATGCATCTGTTATTTTTATGTTAGATACATTCTGATGTTGCAGAAGAAAGAGGACTGAAAATTACATACAAATACACTGGAAAAGGGATTACAGAGCCACCTTTTGGTATATTTATATTTAACAAAGACACTGGAGAACTGAATGTTACCAGCATTCTTGATCGAGAAGAAACGCCATTTTTCCTGGTAAGAACGATTTTCTATTTATTAGTTCGTAATTATTCTTAGGTAATAGTTATGATTTATTTATTTATTATTATTATAGTAGTTCAGTTACCTTGGCTTTAATCTCTTTCATTATTTATGTTGTAATTCCAGCTAACGGGTTATGCTTTGGATGAAAAAGGAAACAACCTGGAAAAACCATTAGAACTAAGAATTAAAGTCCTTGATATCAATGACAATGAGCCAGTGTTCACACAGGATGTCTTTGTTGGGTCTATCGAAGAAATGAGTGCAGCACGTAAGAAGCTATTATTTTTACAAATGAACACACAAGGTCATTTTATACCCATTGCATAACTGAACATGAAATCCTATATCTCAATGGAAGCTATTACCCACAGAGCAAATAATAATTAACCTAGGATTAGAAGTGTGATAATTTATGATAAGTTCAAAAGTCTTTACGTGCCATCTTTTTTTATCCTCAGAATAGATAATGGTAGATTGATGCAACAGGTAAGATCTCTGTAGCAACCAGTCACAAAAATCATAGACAATACATAAACATAATGGGCATGGCCTTGTTTCAGTGAAACTTTATTTACAAAATAGGTGGCTGGTCATATTTGGGTCACTGGTATAGTTCGCTGGCTCTGGAATTTTTTACTGTAAAGTTCATCGACAGTGTTCAATGCAATGCTCTGTGTGAAATTTGCAAGAGAGATTTCTCTTCAATCATAATATAAAGAATAATCTTCTGATTTATTTCTATCTTAAACATCAGAATCATGTATCTGCTCATACTTCTCTCTTCGTATTGACCACTAGAAAAATTATAAACAAATTTTTAGACCTCCTATTACAGTAAGCTTTAGGCACTTCACCTTAGGAATTTATGTACTAACCTCAGCCTTGTCCTTGCATTTTTTTCATATTCCTATACTCAATTCACACTGATTTCCTCATCTAGTAAATTTTTTGTTATTTCTAAACTGTATGTGATTTTGATAAGCTCCTGAAATCCTTTTAGGGAAAAGCTGAAATTATAAATAAAACAACATATGTAAATATGCTTGAAGTGTGTTCTATCTTAGAACCTTTATTTCTGATACCAGATACGTTTGTGATGAAAATCAATGCAACAGATGCAGATGAGCCCAATACTCTGAATTCTAAAATTTCCTATAGAATTGTATCTCAGGAGCCTTCTTCTCCTCCAATGTTCTACCTAAATATTGACACAGGAGAGATTTCTACAACATCTTTTCAATTGGACAGAGAGGTAAGTGATATTTTATGTTGCTTGTCTTTTTGACTCTACTATACGGGAGCTCTGGTAGCATAGTGCCTAAGGCACTTGACTACTAACCAGGAGGCTGGCGGTTCAAACCCACCAGCCACTCCTCGGAAGGAAGGTTGAGCAATCCTACTTCCATAGTGATAACTGCCTCAGAAACCCAAGGAGGGGTCGCTAGGAGTCAGGTCTGACTCGACGGCACATAACAACAACAACATACTTACCAGTATCTCCTCCCTACTCATTTATTTTCTTTTCTAGTTGTTTTTTGTTTTGTTTAATTATTACTTTCTTCCATAATCTTCATTCTTAGGAAAAATTTTAATATTGTCTCCTTCTAGGATTGTGCTTTCCAATATGGTAGCCATTAGCCACAGGTGTTGATTGAGTGCTTGAAATGTGACTAGTCTCACGTTTGGGGCTTACTATGAAAAAAAGAATGCAAAACATTTCATTAATTTTCACATTGACTACATGCTGAAATCATACTGTTTTGGATATAATGAACTAAATAAATATATTTGTTTTAGATTAATGTCAGCTGTTTCATTTTACTTTTTGTAATGGAGCTGCTAGAAAATTTTAAATTACACACAAATAGTGCTGTTCTAGGGCCTCTCCAGTCAAAACTGTTTGCTAGAGAATCTCAGGCAACAGTGCTCAATTTGGGGTTCCATCAAGGAACTTCAAGACTCTTCCACTGCTAGTATACACACAAAGGACAGAGGGCACTTAAAATGGGAGCCCAACTTAGAATAACAAAAATATTTGCCAAAAAAAAAAAAAGAATTTTTGCATGTCTCCAATTAGAGGAAAAATTAAATAGGTTTTGTAGGAAATTCACAGATATTCTCAAACTTTTTACTTTTCTGTTTCAAACTCAGGGAAAATTTTTGATTTAAAAAATGGAGATAAGATGTTACACGCATGAAGGTTTTAACTGTTTATGAGTAAAATATTGATCTGAAAAACACTGTATTGTCATCACCTGTAAATCTCTGTCCAAGTACAGTGTGTTTAGTATTTGGAAAACTGCCCAGAGCAGGAAAGGATTGTGTCAAATATTCCTTCAAGAATATTATTACTCTGGAGGAGTTCTGGCAAAATGGCGGACTAGGCAGAAGGACTGCACAGACCCTCTTCAACAAAGAAAAAGGAAACCAATTAACACAGACACAGAAGATAATCTTGGACCCCTGAGCCTTGAAGGGAAGGATACAGAAGTGGACTAA